GCGGGCGGGCCTGGCGACCTCCCTGCGCCCCCTCAGCGTTTTGTTTTGTTTGCTGTTCCATCCCTTTGTTTTATGCTTAAACGCTTACTTTTGTATTTTGTATCTTATTTTCAAACGTTTCCTTTATTTTTGTATTTTATATCTTATTTTCAAATGTTTACTTGATTTTTGTATTTTATTTTAAAATGTGTACTTGATTTTTGTATTTTGTGTCTTATTTTTAATTTTTATTTGATTTTTGTATTTTGTATCTTATTTTTAAATTTGTACTTGATTTGTGTATTTTATATTTTATTTTTAATTGTTATTTGATTTGTGTATTTTGTATTTTATTTTTATTTTTATTTTTCTACTTTATATTTTATATTTTATATTGTTTCTTTATTTTTAAATTTTATTTTCTGTATTTTATTTCCTTTTATACTTTTGTTTTTTTTACCATGTTTATATTTTATTTCATTTTCTATTTTCTATTTAAATGTTTGCTTTATTTTTTATATTTTATCTTATTTTTTATCTTACATTTAGTGTTTGTTGACTTTATTTATTAGGCCTAAGACTCTGATGGCTGCTTTGATTCTCATTCCCTTCGTGGGGGGGGGGAGAGGGGGGCAGAAGACCCTTCCAGATCAAAGGTTCAGGCTGCTGTTGCTGGCCCTGCGTCTCTTTTGACTGTTCTCATATTTATGATGAGAATTACGGCTTACTAGGATGGATGAGAGCGTGTTGTGGTTAAACGCAAGCGGTAACATTGCATCACAAATAAGGCAGGAATCACTGTCTAGATTTGCAGGGAGGAACAATTGCTGTGGTTTCTAATAGTTGTATTAGATATTAGATATTATACATTTAGTGAAAACATGCTTGCAAATAAGGTGGTAAGCATGAACGCGTTGATGTCATTTTGCCAAATAAATGTTTCATAAACGTTTGCTAAATTAGTAATATGGTGTGGTAGTATTTGCAACTAAAGTTACCATATTAATGTCAGTTTGCCAAATTTATGTTCATTAAACATAAACTGGCAGAGTGACTTATCATTGTGACAATGACCTCCTTATTGACAAGGAGAAAGTATTATACCGCTGTTATTAGTGACACTACCATCATGTCATATGACACAATAATCACACACTCTTTGTGGTTGAGGTTAACATTAATGCAGTTATTGCCAGATTGCATCTAATAAATAATAACATTTATTAACTTTTTAAACTATGATTAGATTTTATTAAAATTATTAGATTTTTTAAAATTATAATTAAACAATGATTTTATAATGTAAAAATATAATTTAAAATATAATTAAAACATAAATATAATTAAATAAAAATGTTTAGATTTGATTAAACTTCCAGTGTTTAACATGACAACATTGTAGCCTAATTCACAAGGAGACGGATGAGTCACTTAGTGACCACAATGGTAGAAATAGTTTGCCCTCTTCATTTTGTTCAGCTTTTCTTTCTCTGATTCACTTTTAGCAGTTGAGCTAAAAAGAAAAATAATGGTAACATCCCAGTTTCCTTTTAGTAAACAGCCAGTTTATGGACTCCAAACTGCTTTTCAGGGTTCCCGGTTGTGGATAACATGGTATATTTGATCCAAAGCCTGTAAAGCTCCCTTTGGCTCTTCATACTAAATTCAAGAAGATTCTTTTTCAGTGCCCAGATGTGCAGAGGCCTGGTGACGGAGTTTCATATTTACTCAGGCCTCTGGGCACGTCTTAGCCTTTAGCGTGAGCCACTGAGTGGCTGCAAAGGGCTATTGAAATCAAGAAGGAATAAGAGATAATAAGGTCCTTGATGCATTTGCCTGTGAAAGAGAGAACATATGTACGGGTGAGTGTGCGCGCATAGATATGTGTGTCTCTCTCTTTCTCTGGGTATAATATATATTGTTTTCTTGTTTGCTCCCTAGAAATCCTCTATTACAGCGATGATACAGCAATGGCCCACTCTGTGGTTAGGTCACTATTGGCCAAGCAAGATTTTGATGAAGTGGATATGGCAAAGCGGTAAGGCTTGTGATTAGGTAGAGGTATGAGTTTGATGGCATGAAAACCAAGTTTGTGTGGTGTGGGCTTACTCAGCTTTTAATATACATGAGATGCTGCCCTAGATGGTTTTGCTTGGTATGGTGGGGAAAGTGAAGCAGGCCTGTCTGCTTTCAAGGAATAAACAGTATCTCGTTCCCAGACCTCCTTTGTGTTGTGCAGAGAGCAGAGAAACATCCCAGATACTCTTTGATACCTTGAATTCTCATCTGTTCAAGTCCCACCTGCTGCTACGCCTGTATTTTATGAGTCTGGGTGGAAAGTAATGTTGGAACAACTATAAAGTACTCATCAAGAGTTGGCTGATACGAATCTACCCTTGCACAACACACAGAAACGAGCCAACCACTTTTTAACCTGATGTGTTATGCAAATTCAGGTGATTGAGCTAAATCATTGAAATCTCAGACATCATCTTGATGGGTTAGTATCATCAATTAATATATCCATACGTGGATTAAATGAATCCTCCAAATAACATTCTTAGTGCTTGATCTTAGTAAAGCAGTTTTCTCCTGTTGTTAGCATCTTTCCAAGCCAGCAGAATGTAAATGGAGTATTTTGTAACCAAGGTCTTCTCCTGGCAGGTTTGCTGAAGAATACAAGAAGGATCCTGACAGAAGCTATGGAGGTGGTGTGATTACTGTATTCAAGAAACTCCTTAGTCCTAAATGCAGTGATGTGTTTGAGCCAGCAAGACAGCAGTTTAATGGGAAAGGTTCCTATGGGAATGGTGGTGCCATGAGGGTTGCAGGCATTTCATTAGCTTACTCAGATGTCCAAGATGTAAAGAAGGTGAGTTAATTGTTTTAGGTTCCATGCCTAGTATTTATGTAGCATTGAAATTATTTTACATACAGCAGTCCTGTTTGATGTAACAAGCTAAGATATGCCAAGTACAGAGATCAAGAGACAATCAGTTGTCTCTTGATTTGTATCACCAAAGTAGCTAGTTTGGAACCACATGTAAGGGGCAGTCCAAGGGTTTTATTATTTCTTGTTCCTGTTTCGCCTACCGTCATGGGTGGGCTGCCAATATTTCTGGGGAACTGAATGCCATTGTAGCTACTGTTAGGCTTGCTTTGGGGTGGAGACTCTCAAGGAATGCAGTCTTGTGAAGAGCATGTGAACTATCCTTTTCCTGGTAAATATTCTCAGAGAAGGAATAACATTGAAACAGTTGATGCCTAGTGCCAAGAAGTCTAGGATTGGCATCAGATGTAAACATTAGGGAGCAGTATTAGAACAGACTACAGATTTTTTTTTTCCAGAACCATAAAATTAGCCATTAAGGAATGCTGTGAAATTCAACAGTGCGTTGAGTTATGAAGGAGATTTAGACACGTTTATGGAGGCGGTGTTCATCCAAGATGTTTAACGAAATAAGTCATACTTTGGATGTTTCTAGATTGAATGCACATTGCACTTTTCCTTGAGCACACATCCTGCACATATGGCCTTGTTTAGGTGTTTCATCTGAGAACCAGCAAGCTAAACGTGCAAGAGATGTGCATACCCAATAACGTAGAACCTTTTTTCAGATCTGCTCCTTACATACCCTTAATCTGTTCAGAGCTCTTTTGTACAGATATGAAAACAGGACTATTTTTTATCGAATGTATCTATATGCTTTCCATTAATAGGTTCTGTCCTTTATTTTTGATTGAATTAATTTTCATCAGATATTATAGCCTTTCACATTAGGATGACTAGCACTGAAGGCCTGGAATGAAGGTCTGTCTGTATGTCTGTCTGTCTATTTGTAACTCATTTTCCCTGTAAGTTCAGGCAAACAAGAAGTAAAGTTTAATACATATCTCATTAATGAGGCCTGTTCACTAAGCTTTGGGTAAGACTTTACTGCCTGGAGAAGCTGGCTTGGTACAATCATATGTATATGATGGAAAAATCATAGAAATTATATTAGAACCCGGGTTCATCCAGTGAAGCTGAATATGAGAAATTCAGAAAGCAATTTCCACAAGATATGATAGCCACCATCTCAAGGGGAATTAGACACATTCATACAGGATGCATCTCCCCTTAGTTATTAGTCTTGGTTCTTTACCTTCAGCCAAATAGTGCCAGTTGGAGCAGCTATGGGAAAAGGGCCTTCTCTTTCCTTGTGCATTAGGTTAATTGACACTAAATACAGCAGGTCCCATCTAGTCAAAGATAGGCACGAAGTCCTTGGATCAGTATATGCTTCCCTAGTAGTTTTGTTACTGCTTTCTTTAAAAAAAAAACACTATAAAGATTCTGTTTATAGATTTATTTTAAATCATTTAAAGAATAAAATAAACCACTACACAAAAGAAAAAGAAAATGAGAAAAGAGGATAGTGGATGGGAAATAAAATATCAGTAAATAAGCAGTATTTACAATTGTCATAAAATTTAAAATTCATCGATTAAAGAATTCATTGACTATATAAAACTAAATTTATTATCTTGAGTGAAAATTGCAAATCACTATGAAACTCTAAACATTAATAGTTAGATGGATATCACCACTGTTTGACATTATCTAAAATAAATGCCCATGGCCTTATGAAAAGAAAGAATAAACAATTTAAAAAGACTAAAAACAATCAGTAAAAACAATATTAAGTTCTAGACTCCCTCCCATTGTCCCTGACTGGTGATTACATCTAATTATTTATAAACATTAGCATTGCTTCTGGTTACTATTTTGACATTAAATAATTTGCCCTTAAAAACCATACTTTAAGTATGCCTTGTTGTGGGATTGTCACTATTTTCTATCTGCTGTCAACAATGGCCAAAACAAGTATTAAGGTAGTAAAGAAAGCCTTCTTTCCACTAATTTAAGTTTTCCTGTCTTTTCTAAAACAGTTGTTTTCTGTCTTTCCAGTTTGCTAAACTGAGTGCTGAGCTAACCCATGCAAACTCCTTGGGCTATAACGGAGCCATCTTGCAAGCCTTGGCAGTCCATTATGCTCTCCGTGGGGAGTCAAATCGGGACAGATTTTTGGAGCAGCTGATAGGCCACATGGAAGATGTGGAAGCTGATGACAAGTCTGTTGCTGATGCACGAATGTAAGTATAGGTAGTCCTCAGCCTAATGACCATTTGTTCAGCAATCATTCAAAGTTACGGCAGCGCTGAACGAAGGGACTTAGAACCAGTTCCTGAAGTTATGGCCGTTGTGGCGCCCCTGCGGTCACGTGATAAAAATTTGGGTGCTCGGCAGCCCACCTGCACTTATGACTGCAGGGGCACTTCAACTCCCCCCATCCAGCTATCTCCCCCCATCTATGCCCTTTTGGCCCCCTGTACTCCGCGGCCCCTGCCACCCTAGCTTGCTTCGCTATCTTCTTGCTCCTGCTGCTGGCCAGGCGTGCCTGGCCTGGCCCTTAGCGGGGCAGCTGCTGGCTGCATGAGGCTTTCTTCCCCAGGTCGTGCACGGTGGTTTCCTCATGAGACCTGGGGAAGATGCCTCATGTGGCTAAAAACCTCCCCCCTCCGGACCCCGAGGGGCGAGCCCCCCTACCCCCGGGCAGCAGGAGAGGAGGAAGGAAGGAAAGGGGGGGGGGGG